GCACAGAGGGCTGAGTGCGTTGCCCAGACTCACATTGCCCATCCTGGCTGCTGGACCCGAGCGCCGGGGCGGTCAGCACCGGCCTCCTGCACGCTGGACGGGCCTCCGCCCCCCTTCTGCTCGCAGCGCCCGCGGGCGTGAGCCCTTTCACCAACAGGATCCAGCCACTTGGCTCAGCCGACTGGTCTCCTCCAGGGCCCGAGTAGCGGACGGGAGGTTTGCGCTGGCTGGACCCGCGGGCTGGCTGACAGCCCCGGGCGGCGCCGCTGGGGCCAGGGAGTCCCCTGGGCGCCCATTCTGTCACCGAGTCTGTGCAGCACCATGCGGGGACACTACGGTTTATGGCTGTTTGTGTCCCGAACCAAACTGCCAGCAGTAGTGGCTGGGATACATTTAATTGCAGAACCCATAGTGTTGGGCTTAAACGCCAGTTACCAGAGCAGTCAAAAACAACACAGGCCTACGTTTCTGGAAATTTTTTTCTGAAAAGGAAAAACTCAATCAGGATAGTTCTGCATCATTCTTTAATGAGACAGGTGAAATAGAGACATTAAGAATATTCTTTTTTAGAAAGACTTATTTATTTGTTGTTGCATAGAAGAGCTGGGGTGCAGGCCAGAGGTGAGGGGGTGAGAGGGCACCCCAGAGACAGAGCGGGGAGCAGAACAGGCGGATCCCTGAAGCCCGGTGCTGCAGGGAGACAGCCGGGGAGACGGCCGGGGTCTGCTGGCCCTGGGGTCCCTCCGGGCCGGGGACAGCGCCAGCTATCACAGTGGCTTCACCGTGCTGAGAGGTGACCCCTGCGCCCCAGGAGGCCCAGCATGGTGCTGGCTGTACTTCCGCTGTTTCTCAACGCCGCCCTCTTGGCCCTGGCTGGTGGCTCTCACCCTCTGTGAGGTGCGACCCCCACCGCTCCCCACCTGTCTCCTCCTCCACAGGAACCTGAGCCCAATTCCCAGGTCCTGGCGCGCGTCCTCATCTCCCGGAGCGAGACTGACCTTCTGAGCATCCGAGCTGAGTTCAGGAAGAAGTTTGGGAAGTCCCTCTACTCTTCTCTGCAGGTGAGTGCTGGCTGCTGTGGGCCGCGCCAGCGCCCGTGCCTGTCCACCCGCACGCCCTGCCCTGCCCTGCGGAGCACATGCCTGACCTGGGGAAGCCTGGCGCCTCGGGCCACCTCAGGGCAGGGCCGCAGAGGGAGGGGACAGTGTGCAGGGCCCTCCTGACACAACTCCCTGGCCTGCAGGAGGCGGTGCTAGGGGACTGCCAGGCTGCCCTGCTCACTCTGTGCAGGGGCGAAGACATTTGAGCCCTCCCTGCCCCACCCCCAGAGGACACGCAGGACGCAGGACGCAGGACGCCATGAGCTTGTCTTGGAGCATGAGACCAGCTGGCTTCCCCCAGCTTCCCCCGGGGGTGACCGGTTCGAGCGGCACTTGCTGGGGTTTCCCAAGGTTGGGACCCCGTTTCCCTCCCCCTCAGTCACGTCTGCACCAGCCCACCAGCTCTGTCCTGGGGGTGGGGTGAGGGGTCCATGGTTCTGCCCTATGCGTCCTTCCTGTACCCTGGCCGGAACATCTCTCTGATCCTTGACTTTTTTGGCCACTTCCGCTGCTGTTTGTGTTCCCTGATTGACGTCTGGGCGGAGCGGAAGCGGCAGGTGCCTCTGATGGCACCTGGGTTTCCAAGGGGAATCCTGTTTGGAGCTCCGGTGCCAGTTATCCGCATCCCCTCCCCCACCGAACCCCCTCTCACCCTCACTGGTCTCTCTTCCCCCAAACAATTGAGAGACCAGCACCAGCTTGAGGTCAGAGATGGTGGCCGAGGGCCATCTGTGTAAACCAGGAACCAGGCAGAGGGTCAAGCTGCAAGACCCCTCAGTTCACCTGCCCACATTCGGAGGGCGGGAGCCCCAGGCCTGGATGAAAGGCTCCCCAGCCCCCCCCCCCCAACACCAAGCAAAACCAGAGAAACAAAAAAACCGGGGCCTTGGGCTCCCCCTGCCGGCCCTGTTGGGAAGGGCAGGCAGCACCCACACCTCTCGCCTCCCCACTTTGCATTCCTCAGTGGGTCAAATGCTTGACCCGGTTGCTGCAGGAGAGGGCAAACAAGAGCTCTCAGAAAAGTTTTATTTCCAAATCCCTAGGGAGCATTACAGATAATGGGGCTAGAGACCCAGCCCAACCCTGGGCAGGAGCCCCGAGCTGGGCTGGAATGCGGCTGGTGGGTGGGCGGGCCGTGGCCCAGCTGGCCCAGCCTGCTGTCCGGCTGCTCGGGCGAGGGCCGGGAGGGAATCCCACGCCCGGCGCGCTGGGGGCCGCAGCAGCATGCCAGGCGAGGACGCCCCGGGTCTGGCCTTGGCATTTGCCGCCTTCCGCGTGCCCAGCGGTTCACATACGAGTTACCCTGTGGCTCTCAGGGCGGAGCTGGGCGCAAGCCAGGCAGCTGCAGCCGCTGCGGGAGAGGCCGAGGCCGGCGCTGGCCGGCTACAGGAGGACACAGTCCGACTCTTGCTTCGGCCTCTGCCGCCGCTCCCCCGCGGGGCGTCCAGCTGGGGCTCCTCTCCCCTGGAGGGACTGAACAGTGGGTCACCCATTAACCCCCGCAGGGCAGCCAGGGGCCCCGGGGACGGACAGGGGAGGGAGGGTGCCGGGGACAGCAAGGCATAGTGACGGGGACAGGCACGGGCAGGGCCGGGCCCCGGCCAGGCTGC